GCTCGGAGTTTGGATTTTCAGGTCACAGCGCACCACATTTCGTTCGAAACGTGCTCTCGTAAGGTGCACCGGGCAATCGATCACATGGTATGTAAAACATGTGACTGATTAGACGACATTGACAGGTGGCCGAATGAGCTCATTCAACGCGTAAGTAGTCGACTGCCTGACGGTGCACCTAGGCCAAACTAGACTGATCTCTCCCAGAGTACTTGTGTGTGTCCTAGACGAACCGTGATCACGGTTCACTTTCGTAAAGTAATGCCAAGACGCTTGAGCGTCACTGATCGAGTGTAATGACAACAAGTGTATGAATTGTGCATTATGTTTCATCAGTGCTTTGCTTATTTTAACATCAGTCCGACTTCCATTCCTGATAGGGGTCAGCACCACGTAGCACAGAAGAAAACATTGGCAAAGTAACCGTCAATTTTCAGATTGGGCAGAGAAAATGGATACGAGGCTGGATAAGACTCACGATCACCTCACTACTAACTAAAACTAGGTGGTTACCCAAAAACGTACCACAAAAGGTGTCATGAGTCGATAAATGGGTTGATATTGGTGTATATGACAAAGACTCCGGACAAAATATGAAGTCCGGACCGATGAGGCACGTATCGGCGATGGCTTTTACCAAGAGCTGGACAAAGCTTTTCGGTTTCGGACAGAGGAAGGACGATAAATCGAATAAAATATTTCCTTACAGCCAAAAAATTCACAGAACCGAAAATCAATTACTAAATTCTTTTCAGCCAACGTTCGTGCGAACCACGACAATCAACATAATACTTGTCTGCAAGTGGTTTAGCATATGACGGTTGGTGTGACGCCAGGCTTAACTTCGAAACGACCAGATATACAAGACCATCCAGACGAATGAGCTGCTTGCATTCTTCACTTGATCGGCCTTGAACCTCGTTGGATCACAGTATGTAGGCGATTACATATAGTAGATTAGTTGTAGTTGGTTGAGGGATGTACGGAATTAAGACTACTATCGTTTGAAGAAACCTCTTCTTGCATATGCAGAGTTATTCCGATAAATTCACTCCAAAGAGGAAGTGGTGGGTTCGACTTTCGCTCTTGTTAAAGCTCATCAGGAGTTTACTTCTGGGATTTGAATCTTGGATGCCTGATGCAATTGTTACCACTATTCTATCGACGCATACTGGACGCACGTCAATTAGTGTGACTGAACAGACGAACATGTTCACACTCGATTGATCCGCCTGTCAAAACTCCAAAAGTCGGGTTGCACCAGGGAGGCTTGAGATCCGCGGAACAGTTGTTCAAACGAAAGTGATGTGAGCATGCATTCTACAAATCCCGCAACCACCCAAAAAGAAACTTTCGACTAGTTGTAGCAGGTTGCGGCGTTTGTAGGATTTGTATTCACATTACATCGTTTGAATAGTTCCACAGGAAAGTTGTTCAACAGGTTTTAAGAGCATATCAGCCGATCGGCTACAAAAAAAAACAGACACAGGGTCGTTGTTCAGGTCACTAGGCAAACCGATCACAGTGCTCAGGTGCGTTCACGCGTCATCATTCACGTGCTGGTTATGCAACGGTAACACATTCGTCTCGCAGGTCAGATGTCCGGGGCACAAATAGCGTGTCAATATTGACTATTGATGGGAGAAATTCGAGGCCTTGACATCCAAACTCGAAGACACTGCGGACTGTGTGAGCATTTAGATATCGTACAGTTGACTACAAGCAGTTGGGACTCAACATTCGAGGATTAGTCTATATCACAGGATTATTTCGCGAAAATGGAGTGATCGATTGTCAGACAGACCTATCTACCTGTTTATTCTATTACTTAGTGAATTGGTTAATGTTGACTAATGCGCACCCCACTTAACTGAAACGACACAACCGTGTACACATTAGTGTGAACGCATCCTACTTAAGTTTGATGACCGCACGTAACAAATACAGGAAAAAAAGTGGACTTGGCCCTGGAAAACAAGGCAGAAAACAGTTGTCTCGGTATTGTGCGTGTTGTGATGAAGTGTATGTACACTTGAGAGGTGTAAACAGGAGGGTTGGTGCCGGGGCGGAAGTTCGACTTAGTTCAGTTTTTCAACGATCAACCATGTACGAGCGTGCACCGAGGGGGGCTTCCACAGCATTTAAACGTTGACAGTACAAAATGAGGGTGCGGACTGATTGGGATCCATAAGGTAAGACAGGGGGGCATAGAAGTGAACGTCAACAACAACCGAACGGATACAACAGTGCCAAAGACCAGACGACTTAATGTCAGAGAGAGCGTCTAGCCACTGATTGTATGGGTCCCTGGAGCTCCAACTTCGCAGGCTGGACGAATCAGCAAAGTCCAATGGTTACTGCTTATGTTTTCCTTCAGGACATACTCCCTATCCTGTGTTTCCTTCCAGTCGGCGAAAAGTCCCACAGACAGGACTGACCCCAGATAAAAAGAATGTGAAACAGTCCAGCCAGTAGAACTCTCAAGTGCCGGGAACTATCCATCATGCCTTAGAATTTCTATCTCGAAGGTTCCACGACATGAGTGTAGTGACTGAAGCGAGTACTCTTCTTTCGTCTTCATGCTTCGGACCACAAAGCAGTAAGAGACTCACCACAGCTTTAAAAACCCTACCAGTAACCGACAAGTTAGTGTCGAGGCGCCACCACAGATTCACGAAACAGCTGGAAATATAGCGCGTTTTGCCAATTCGTCTCTGTTCATATCACGATGCAAAGCTTTGCAGGGATCTGAACCCCGGATATCTGAAGTGCGAAAAGACAGTGTCGCAACTACTCCACCGGCGTACACTTTACGAAGTTGAATGACCACGCTTGAGCAGGCTGGTTAGCCCGACACATTTGTTAGCTGTGTTGCTGCCGAATGAGATACAGCAACAGATGAGTGGGTTCATCAAACAATCGCAGCGCCGAGTGTACCACGAATGTGCTTTGTATTTCGGTAGAATTCCATCTAAGTAGTTTTATGAGGTGTGCGTGTGTCTGTCCATACTCCAGTTTGTTCGCGTATTTCTTTGGAAGAAGGTAGGAAGTGTGCACTGTGATGGCTTACGCTACTAAGTTAGTAAGCAGGTTATTCGTCTCTGCTGGAATAGGGCAGAAGGATGGTCTCGATTGAACGTGTCAATTTACAAGCTTGACTTCGATTGAAGCTAAACCATATACCATTCACTGAGGTGTACTAGCAGCGTGTACTGTTACGTTGACTACAGTAAGCCCATATCAGAAAACGAGACTCTGTATGGATTGTGCATCCATCCTTATCCGCGATGAACACATTGGCCATTTTAACCAAATGTACCGGGAAATCGGGCTATTTCCAGTCGGTGGGCATTCTTTCTAGTTCTCTGAATCTTCCCATTCACCACTTTAAGGCCACGGACTGATCCGCGTTTCGGGGGTTTCTGTACCATAACACAGCTATGGAGCCAGTCCTTTGACCTCACTTTCCGAAAAGTATAGATCTAAAACCGGGAAAGCTAAACGGTTGAATATAGATTGACTCCAGGACGTCACTGGGTTTCATCCACGTTTATAGTGAACTACCTACCCATATGATCAGACCTATGACAACAATCCTTCTTACCATCAACAGGCTTCAATCCGGAAGTGGAGCGCAACTTAAGGAATGAGAGACGGGCAGAAAAGGAGTGTCACAAGGGATAGTCACGCAACCGAAAATGATGTAGGTTGTAAGTGATAAGTCTATAGTCCAGTCGAGTGAGGTGAACTGTGTGATCATTCACAGCAGCGCAGAATGAAAAATACTTGGGTTGTGACTGTTGTAGCTTGAGTGGACGCTCAGCTGACCTGTGGACAAAGGAGCCAACCGTTTGGACGGTGGAGCCGACCTTGTGAACTCTGAAGAGTCACAGTTCCCAGACGATGGTACTCTGACTATTTTAATCAGTGGAACACATGGCTTCAAAAGGGAACCAATATGATTTGCGACTTGTACTAGGTAGTAAAGGAACCCATATTTAACTCAAGGGACCTTCGCTCACTTTCAAAACCATGAATAATCCTAGAGGGAGTACCAATGGCCTAAATGTCCTTCCCGGCTTATCCACACACCGACTACATAAGGTCGTGGATTACCGTTTCGACGTCCTTTCTCTTACAGAGGCGACTTCCAGGTCATCTTGGCAATACGTACACATGGTGTTTCAGAAAAAAGAACTTCAGACCTTTAACCTGCTTCATATACTCGGCTTCAAGATAAGTTTTACGAATTGGATGGGGGAGGAAAACATTCGGCTATTGGTTCTGAGTGCGTTTTACAAATAGTACAATTTTCATACTGTCAGTGCAATTAGTGGTATACGTATGTGGGCTTTTCTCCACGGATAAATCTTCGGCCAAATTCTATGTAATTGACTTTCAAGGTCGAACGGACTCTGACAACACCAAAAAGACACTGTGATACAGCGATGAGAATTTCGCACATGCTTCCAACGAATTAGGTCACCTTATTGAGAGTGATGTCTGGCGATTGAGTCGAATAGGTTGACTGATTCGCGGCCCAACCTTCTGTTGTATGTGCAAGAGATGACTGACAGGACAAACTATTGGCATGTGAGAAGCGGATAAATCGATATGCAGATGCTGCATACAGCTGGAAGTTCTCAGAGGGATCGGAGTCTGATAGTTACACAGTTTTCAGTAGGCTGGTCACCAGAGAAGACGTATCTATGGTTGTGCCTATATGACTTTGCCGAACAGTATTGTCTACAGCTACCGTGATTTCTAGTTCAAACGAAACGGTAGATCAAGAGCTACTGTGAGTTGAGGGACGATACGAGAGGACAGAAGAGAATCGGCTGCGATTTCCAGCCACCAGTGGGAAGTTTAGCTGAGAACACTCACGAAATCGTACGGAAAAAGAACTAAGCTAAACCATGAGGCGATAATAAGGGGAACAATACAGTCTCTTGAGGGTCGGGAATATGAAACACACGCACAATTTACTGACGTGAACGTACTTGCCAAAACCATTGAATTTCTCTGCAACGCTCAGTATACTTTTTGTAAATTGTATTGGCTTCCCAATCGTTAACATCCAACTGTTGCATTCCGCACAGAAGGAGCTGTATGCGACGAAATTGTAAGAGACAAGAGGCAGTTATAGCGAATGGGTGAACAATTGATCAAGATTGGTGAGAGCAATTGTAACATCAATGCACAGCTACAATTAACTCTAACCATTCGGTTATTTCATTGTTTTTCCGTGATTAGTGATCAGGTTGACAGCATGGCTTTAGATTCCTGTCGCTCCTCTAAAGCAGACAGCATTCCCTCTTTGAGAGAGCAAGACTACGAATAGGGTGCTTCAGAGGATCAGTCAAAGGTTATACTTTTGAGGGGAGTTTCACTAGCTGCGACAAAAAACTTTTGTCTGATACTTTATCATCATACTGGCAGCCTGCAGCTAGCATGATTTGTGGTCTGCCTGTGAACAATCAATAAAAAAATGGCATGTACGGAGGTCTGAAGCAACAGCTGATTCGAAGTAAATGACATTTTGTGCGGGATTGCAAATGGAAAAGAGTCTGCTTGTGTGTTTCACAGCAATGTGAAGTGAGTAACCCAGTGATGACACTACAAGGTAGCAATAGCATCATTCAGTTTTTGTGACAATTCTCTGTAAAGCTGTCAGTTAACCTGAAGGAAACCTGGATACTAAGGGACTGAATACAGACAGGAATGGATTGGAAACACGGAGTTATTTCCAGGGCTCCAATTTGCAGCCATGCACGACACAAAGTACGCCTACCGATTCGAGTATTCTTTCACTGTTTGTTTTATTACACAAGACTGCCGTAAGACTGATGACACCGACCTTGGGATTTCCGAAGAGACAACAAATCAAGTGGCTGAATATACAACCTAATATCGCGTGATTTACGGCAGCATATAAATTCGTGATGTATTAACCAAGAGGGGCAATCACAGAAAACAAGCTTTGTCCGTTACTTCCAATGTTCTCATGACAACCAATCAAGAGTGATAAAATTGGCAACCACCTTCTCGCAAACATATGGAAAAACCTGAAACACTCACCTCAAGCTCCCGCTCGTCAAAGTACTGCAGCCACTGTAACGGGAATACATCAGAAACTCCCTGAAGAAATGCTTCAGTTTGTTCCTCAACACCTCGGGAAAATCGCCAGTTCACAATAAGGCTATGTGAAGAAGAAGTGATATAAAAGGGGGGGGAAGGATAGATAGATATGTGTAAGACATCATCACAAGACTGGTGACGATAAAAGTTGCTGTTGTTAGTGGTAAGTAAGTGGTGAATCAACGTAGGACCTCAAATGACTCTTCCGTTAATAAGCTAACTTATAGGTCAAAATCCATACACCAGCATTAGTCTGTGAAGTGCCCAAACGTACAATACTGTCGAGTGATGGTGAGTAGTTAAGCCATCAATGCAGGCCATCGCCCGGTAATATTAATCTTGTTTTAACAAAAACCCAGACCGTCAGACCGAGAAGTGGTTGTCGAGTGACGTTCAGCAGTTTCCGCCACACAAAACAATACTGCTCCACTATTAGAGATCCAAAACACACAAAAATGCGGTCGTATGAAAGCTGACCACAAATTTGAGTATTATCAGACAGACGATGCGCAATCAGCAAAGATGGACGACATTCCCAACAGAAGATGGACGGCAGCAATAAAATAAACAAAAAGATGGAGATTAAAGTCGTATGAAAGCTGACCACAAATTTGAGTAGTATCAGACAGACGATTCGCAATCAGCAAAGATTGACGACATTCCCAACAGAAGATGGGCGGCAGCAATAAAATAAACAAAAAAATGGAGATTAAATGTGCCATCCGTGAATTTGTTTTTCAGTGCGAGTGTCATATGGGAAAAAAGAACACGAACTACTTCTTTCTAACGGTCATTCTATGCGATAGCGAAACTTGCAGTGAAGTCGTAATAAAGTCGTCTCCCTTGAGAGGACCGACCGAAAGTTGTCCCTTGGAAAAACGGTTAAAGATGCTGCAAGACACTTGCTCTCCTCACTATGGGGAGGGATGTCAGAAGAGAAGACTGTAGTCGGTAAGGATATGATAAACCCCATCCAAGAAAAACGCATCTCGAATCCGTCTCTTGAAGTGATATTTCTAGTGGGAAACAAATAAATAAAAAATATCTCAGCTGTAACACCTTTTCGGTGCTTAGCTGCCATGCTACCCGAAGGAAGCACGAGGGCTGGGGTACTGTCAGGTTACCCAAGTCTAGGCAGGGAAAGTTGAGAGGCAGAGGTCCGTTCGAACCACGGACCTTCCGGTCAGTGAATTCGCGCTCTAACCACTTGAGCCAAATAAATCAATGAAAAGTGGTCTCTTCCGAGGAGCGGTCCTTTTAGAGGGATACAACTCTACTGCGCTCAGTACGCCTAACGTGCTGTTGACAAGTGCTCAAAAAACAGTGGTGTTCATCTGACAACTAGGAGTCCTAGCAACCCCTCACAGGCGTTGTACATCTCAAGAAAACCATGGGTCTAAGCAGAATGTGGCCAACCGAGGAGCGAATCCAAAAGGCCGAAAGGTGCTATGACGCTCAAAACTCAGTTGTCGTCTGGCGGGAATGAATACATAGCAAATCTACCGGTAGAATTGGACATTAGAGTCATTCATTCACAACCTGACATTCACAACCTGAAGATCGAGAAAGTCGGAGGAAAACTCACTCGATGTATTCCGACTTGTTTTCTTCCGTCACCTTGATGGTGCTTCCGTTAGGCTTCAGTTCGTGTGTCTTGACTTCACCGAGGACTTCATAATCATCCGAAAAGTAGAGGTCCATGTCTGCTTCGTCAACATTAGTTTCTCTGTTCGCGAAAAAGGGTAACAACGCATTGGGAACCTCCAGAAGAAACAAAATGTGAACTTTGAGGTCAAGCGAAGAAGAAATATACGCCCCAAAGGAATGAATGACCTATCAAGCTGACGTAATAGTGTTAGAAATAGGACCCATATAACTTGTCGTTTACAGCAAAAGAGAGTGACGGCTCGAATAACTCAGTTAGTCATGTGACTGACTGACTGTGACGTGGAGTAGAAATGACCTAAATTTAGAACAATGAATCACGTGGATGTTTACATACTATCGCACAAATACGACAGAAGGATTGAGTGTGGAGAGCCATCAAGGTTTGGTGGATTATATGGAAGAATTTAGTCATCCGCGGTGTCAACATGCTTCATGTAGCCGTGAAGGACTCGATGAGCCCATGTATTTTTCCACAATAAATTCATCCGTTTTATTCCAACGGATATTGAAGATAATACCATGTTACACCCAGTCGAACGACTACTAGAAACACGTATGCGAAATTCTTAAAAAGCCATGTTACACTTCTTGATCGTCTCAACTAAGCTCGGAAGAAGTATAGTCGGGTGGTAGAGTTGGAATCGACACTCACGATGCGGATAATGGGAAGCAACTGCTTCAGCTATGTGCTGACCATCATCTGTTGCCGGCCAGTACGAACTTCCAGTAGAAACGCTCACTTGGGGGCCACCAACCGCAAGACAATCATAAACGCACCTGGACCATATGGCTTTCAGTTACCGATGGGAAGCCTCAATTGAAGAATGTTGTTCCTTCTGGGGTGCAAGGGTCCGGTTACCACTTGGCTTTCAGTAAGCATTATGCGACAGCCACTCCATTCCTTATCTTCGACAAATTTCAATAGCTCAAAATGATCGACTTGATCTGGATAGAGAGCTACTGGAAACGCAGTCATGTGGATGACGAAGATTGCTTAAAGGTTGAATCGCGACGCTTTAAGGAGCCGTGCCCTCCGCTTTTACACCTGTCTGTCAAAGCCATCAGATTTAACTAAATGCACGCTGGATATCGTCGAGACAAGCAGGTCCTATTGCTGCAAGAAAGGCCATACCAACCCCTAGAGACTACGATAGTGTACGTAGATCCTTCAAACACCGAATAATCAGGAGCTTGGAGGATGAGGGAGACTGCTGATGGATTTTGAAGGCCCAGGAGAGGGCTTTCACTGCACGCACGATTTCAGCTGATTCGATCAACAGGTTTAAAGACGAGTGTCATGAAACGGTATGCGAAAAAGACGGACCAGGAATTGATTCACAAAATCGTTGTCTTGAGCGATGGGTTGATTAGTTCATAGGACAGTTCAGCTGGTCTCCTTCAACACAACCGCTGCAAGAACATTGACACAAGTCCGCCGTCCACAAGAGAAATTCAGCGTGAGATATCAAACCTCTGTAGCGGACATTTCCATGTCCCCTCAACCAACTGCACTTAATTTGTCCAGTACATGGATGTTTACTAGATCCCACGACTTACCTGCTACACAAGCACACAAGTCACGTGACAAACGCCGTTCCACCCGCAACCTTGACCGACTACAAGTCAGTTCCTGTCTTGTACGCATCGGAACGATTCATATTTTATACACACATCAAACTTTCCTATATATAGGAAGCGACAACACAGTCAACACGCATGGACTCGCGCGCGCGCAGGGAGCAAGTAGTCAGCTAAACACTCCAAGTCCACGGACAATCATGGAATACGTGTAACAGCCAAACTGTGGAGAAAACACGTTCCCACCGTCCGGACTTTCATCAAGGAACTCTCACATACGATAAGTTCCTTTATTGACTTGCTCCCATTTCGCATTGTGTTCATTTTTATACGTGTCGCAACCACACTAAATATCTCTATTAGTGCACATACGCCTTCTGATTTGCATTATGCTCATCATCAGCTGAGCACTAATACCTCCGACGAAACAGGACACCTGGCCCGGATGATGTCTACCCCAGATTCTTCAAAGGTGGTGAGGTCCTGGTGAACAGTCGGACGACTATACTGTAGAAGATTTGGAACGGAAGTAAAATATTCGTGAAATGGAGCTTCTCGACCATCATCTCAATTTTCAAAAAAAGGGCGCCAGAACGTCATACGGAAACCATCGTGGCATCAGCCTGGTATTCGTAGCAACCCGAGTGCCCTGTGGCATTATTTTGCGCAAGTTGATCGATTATCGGGAGGGGCAGATTCACGAGAATCAAACTTGGTTTCACGTTGACCGAGCATGCATCGACATGTTCTTGAGCAGCGCCACTCTTTCGAAGGTTTCACGTTGGTCGTCTTTATTTGAAATCTGTTTTTGACTCTGTCAACCGTCAGGAACTTTGGCAATATCTGGCGATAAAAGGTGTCCCTTCCAAATGAGGGCACTGAATGAGAAATTTTATGAACGGGTAAAAGAACAATTTCGTCTGAGTTCACTACATCCAGTGATGTAAGACAAGCTTACCATATCACACCTTTTTCTTTAACTTTGTCATGATGTGCTGCTTGGAATTCCTCTGCATGCCTCTGGAACTTCGGGGGTTGAAGTGTTCCCTGGGCGTTCCTTCACAGACACTGGGAATGCGGACGATACTGTCCCCCCCTAGTTCAGACCATTCGAAACCTAACCTAAATAATTCTGCCGCATGGTTTGGCATGCGCTTCACACCTGCAAAGTTTAAAGTGTCACTACAATACTGGGTGGGACCAAACCCAAACCTCATGCCCGCATACCTGGTCAATTTTATAAGTTCCGGTGGACCGGTTGGAGATGAGATTACTTCTCGAATCTGAATGGTCAGGGCAGATTTTGTCAATCTTAAACACCTTTAGCACCGATGTGACGTCAGTTTGTCTGTCAGCAGCAGTACGATCCATAAGGCTCTATGGATCAGAAACGTCACCTCTACGTGCAGAGGATATACGAAAGCGAGTTTGACCATCGGTCGGGTCTGGTGGGAACATCGGATTAGTAACGTCAGACGGTCCTAGAAAAAAGGAACTCTCCCGCGACAGATGTATTACTCATGTTTCATAAGTTATGCTGGTTACGACATGTACTCGGCGTGTCAGAAGATCGTCTGCCTCGCAGAGCTCTTTTCGCCCAGCTTTCAGTTGACTGGAAGCGACCGAGAGGTGGATAGTGTATGACCTGGCAAGAAAGTATGGAAACTCCAGGTGTCGCCTTATTGAATGGGAACCCAGAGACTCAACTCACCAATGGTTAATGACACTGCCAGATATAAACCAATCAAACAGTCAGTGGCACTACTGAATCGTAGCTGTCACCTTCAATGCGTAGCTACCCAGTTTCCGAAGTAAATGAGCATGTTATCGCCTCCAATGCTTGGGTGCATGTCCCACATTCTTCCACTTTCCGGTGGTCGAAACTGTAGCATCTGGAATCAACGTACCCATGAGCTTTTGGGTGACAAATTGATTTATTGTTTCGACCCTTCCATTTCAGCATGGAGGTAAGTAAAACCATCTGGCCTTTGGGGATACACTAGGTGCCAGATTATAAATCACCTGCATGCCGTTGCACCACAATATTCCCATTTGACATCCATCCCCATTCTCTCTAATACTTCCGAATAGTTATTTGCGCTAATCACCTTGCTTAACATTTTTTCTCAAACTGATAGACGATAGACTTTGTCTGGCGAGGGATCTGAGCAGCACTGACCGTGTGAGTATAGGCTGAAGTAGCATGTTGATGAATTATTCGGTGCAGCCGAAGAGTAACATGTGATTCACTGCCACCAACGTTTGTAGAGTGAACAACGAATAACAAACAAAGAAAACTGAACTGATCAAGAGCGATTTGTCAATTTTCCAAGAGCCGGTGTGGACAGATTATAAAGGATACCTGAATAGCTTGTTACCAAGGCTCTTAGAAACACTGTCAAACCCATTTATGGGTTGTCAGGTGATGATTTGCATTCACTAAAAAACGCCCAGCTGTAGCACCCTTCCGGTGCCTAGCTGCCATGCCACCTGAAGGAAGCACGAGGGATGGGATACTGCTAGGTTGCCCAACCCTAGACAGGGGAAGTGGAGAGGCAGAGGTCGGGTTCGAACCACGGACGTTCCGGTCAGTAAATTTGCACTCTAACCACTTGAGGCATTTCGCCCCTTGCATTAACTAATTGTGTGCTGTAAATGACCTTTTTGGATCTCTTTAAAATAAGCGTTGCGTGCACAGTCAGTTCGGAATAAAGTCATCGAGAAACCTTATAATTAATAAGAGAGGATTTTCGGAAGCCTGCCTGAATGCAAACGCGATCACGGACGAAACAGAACTGTTTCCAACACAGTCTCTAAAAGGTTTATATTGCCGACCGGTCATCTTCACTGAGCACAATCTCCAAATAGGCTCAAAAGGGTGACAACCGGGTCACTTGCTGTTTCAGTCAACGAGGTTACGGAGGATAAGCAACGTCTAAAAAGTTACGTCACGTGTATGCGCACAGCAAATCGCGAGATTCGCGAAAACAAAACACATGACTGTGGCAAAAATTGATTAGTGGTTGAATCTTGATGAGCCGTAGGGCGTTCACCATGCAACACAGTGAAAACTCAGCATACAATATGGGGCATACGTGGGCGCATTTGCACTCACTAGCACAAAAGTTACATTCACTGATTCATTGGTTTTCTTATCTATTGCAGTATTGATCACCAGCTACCTCCTTGTCAGCAACACGATTGCCGGTAACCTAAATGTTGAACATCTATCTTTCATCGCGGTAAGACAACGTCAGTGTGTTTACGGGGATTTCTATAGTGGTAGTAGCAAAAAGTGAGAAAGGGAAGGAGTCGAACGTCAGTTCATTACAAACATATGAGGCGAATGCAGAACAAAGTCTCAACTGAACCAGGGTTACGCTAGGCAGTAAAAAAGTCACTTCACCTCTGAACCAAGAGAGTTTCAGAGGGAATGACTAAACAGTGAATATCTCCAGAGTGTGTGATCGCGTAAGATTGGAAAAGATGTTCATTACCAAGGTGAGCAAATGGGTGCTGCTAAAGCCAGTATTTAAAGAAAGTGATCCAACTATCACTGACAACCAAATGATACATCATCGCACATACTCAGCGGCCAGAGCCAGTATTCTTCATTCCGCCCGTAAAATTTTCTTTGGGTCCGTCCGGTTGGGGCCATTCTGATAAGTACACTGAAAAAATAAGACTATGTCCACCCCACTTACAGCCCACCTGACAGTGCTGGATTTATGCACCAATTTATCAGCACCCGCATGAAATGCGCAGCAACCTACCCCTCCCCCCAAATCATCGGTGAACAAAACTGCGGCAGCTATAACCACTGTACGACGAGTACGCGGTTATTACAGCTATACGGGTATTTGTTAGGGTGGCTGAGAGAGCGATTAGCAGGTGAAGGACTAAAAAACCACTACTAGAGACCTGCTTTAAGTAGTATGTAACTAAAAATCTGGTATATCGTCCATCGTCTTGCTGCGCGATTCAAATCAATCTTGGGCATCCAGAAGACATCAAAGCACACAATAGACTAGTCAGGCAGGTAATAATTGGGGTTCTATCAGTCGTTGAATTTTTAATGCCTATTCAGTGTTGCATCTGCCAAATGCAGTTTGCCACCATTTCCTTCATTTTTATAAAGCGGCTTCCACTTCTGCATGCTCTCTCTGGTCCAATGAGTATGAGGTCATCTAGTCAGAAGGATGCCCGGTATTTCCAATTTTCGACTTCAAGCAGTTATAACGAATTAGCTACTTTGGTTGGGATATTCTGGTTAACTGCGTAGCTATTGAGCAAGGACACCGCAAATCAAAAAGTGCCTTAAACTGAAATATTGTGAGGAGATAGCATATGTGTTGATATAACTCACGTACAAGATATATCTGAGCGAACTGTAGTACATCTCATCCACGGTCTGAATGTCCTCCAGCGTGATTTTCTTATGAAGCATACGTTTGTAGAACGGCAGGGTGAAGCCATTATCAATGAACCTCCCGTGGTACAAAGCCAGGGCGATGAAGCGACCCACAAACCTGAAGAATACGAAACATAAGATAGATGAGGTCAAAAAGAGGGGCATGTGTATCTCTAATAATGCAGCGCCCAGTGGATGTCTGTGCCAGAGACAGAAATTAATTTTGGTGCAGTGCGATTAGGTGCCAACAACCAGGAGTTAGAACTGTGAAAACATCGCAGATATAAAACAGAAGCACCAAGAAATACTCAGAGGATGTCTGTTCCGCATTGGCGGTACCAATATGTTCCAAACAAGATGGGTCAAGTGTTCGAGGTTGAATGCTGTCGTTATCATTTTTGGGATTGAAATAAAGATCAAGACCTACAGCGCTTAACGCTCCAAAAGCCATTATGCAGTGAAACTGGGATAGAGCCTCTTGTGAGAGAAAGCTTTCCTGATTAGTGAATAGTCCGCACGTGAGAACGAAAGCCACAAAATGATGTGCATTATGGACTTCTTTTCCCCACCCAATATGCCCAGATACCTCCGATACAGTTTGTCCAGAACACCAGATAACCTTGCCTGTCCAACTAGTCGCAGAACAATAACTCTGGGGTATGCATCCCTGTTCTCTCGCGGAATGAACAGGAATAAGTAGCGGACCTAGTTTTACAGGATGTGTGCAGCCACATTTAGAACTGAGCTGGTCTTTGTAAATCACACGACCTTATACTACCGACGGGATTGAGCTCTGTTCATGTGATAAAGAGCTTGTTTTGTCGGAGCTGGCTTAGGAAATCTCCACATAGATACGCCAGAGATTTAATACTATTCCACGCAGGTTAAAAAACGTCGGGCCGTTCTGTTTACCCACAAAGGTTAAGAAGAGTAAAGTGGCTGTATTAGTATACAAATGTGTGTTGAGTACGCACCAAAAGACCAGAAGCAGAACAGGATCTACTTAATGCACTACTCATACCGTTTAGCTGTAGCACTCTTTCGGTGCCTAGCTGCTATGCCGCACGAAGGAGGCACGAGGGCTGGGATACTGCCAGGTCGCCCAAGCCTAGACAGGGGAATTCGAGTGGCAGAGGTGGGGTTCGAACCACGGACCTGCCGGTCAGTGAATTCGCGATCTAACCACTGGGTGCATTTCGCCCTGCACTACTCATAAGGTTGGTGAAAATTTCTTCGACAACCTACGACCGGTTTCACCCTTTTGAAGCTCATCAGGTAGGTGCAGTCCCCGAGTTTCCGTCAACCTTATGTCCTACTTGGAAGCGAATTGCGCGGAATTAACGAAACCCACTCATTTGCAAACAAATTTGGTTTTGCGAGAACAGGATATACTATTTCTTAGTGCACGGCTGTGATGTACACTGCTTCACTGATTAAGCACTGTGGTGATAATCTTAGACATGAAATCTAAGGAGTTGCATCGTTTAAAAGTGCACTCAGAATCTAGCTTGATGCTATCCAGCTGTGCAGTTGAATCAAAGCTGTCGCCAATCGACACACCAACTATTGTCTCTCGATCGACACGAGCTCGGACGTCGAAAAAAAATGTCTCCTATGGAGATGTGCTTGTCCATACAGCTGGTCTGGATGCTGAAACCGGTAGACAGAATCTTGTAGAAGCACAATCGGCGGTTGGTTTGCCGCACAAACAATGGTGAGCTACACGAAGACCATCGCCTGTTCCTATTTAGCATCATTTCGCATCGAAAAACTATTATGCTGCTGGTGGCTGTTAACTATTCGTAAACCTAATTGGAATATTTGGCTAACGAACCGATGGGTTCTTTCATTCAGTCTCGCTAAGAAGCACAACTTCCACCATGCCACAGACCAGGTACGCCTGATGATTCGCTTTTCAGAACCCCAAGAGACTTGTCAATCCCTTAGTTTCGGGGAGCTACAATGAAGCAACATTGATCTGAGCCACCTAAAAACTCTCCAAAAGCAACCAGCATAACCATAGCTATGCCCGCCTGGATGATGTCCGAAAGCAGGTAAAGGATTTCAACAGCCTCCGTTCTCTGCGTCAACCAGGGGAATGCTGGATACCGTTGAGATCAACGACCTGAACTGATAAGGAAGCACCATATTGGAAGGCAATGACAATTGTGCTAAATACAGGCCACACAAGGAGTGAATAACGAAACCCCTGAGGATAAGGTGCTGGACGATGGTAGGAGCCAAAGAGATGAAGGCTGTCACCACGAAAGTAGTTACACCGTCGACCAGAATGAGGCTAGCGTTAGGGAAACGCTCAACAAGTAAGTCGACCTATATTGCAGTGTCTGTCGAGGACCAGTGTCCCAACTGAAGTGTTAGCCTAACATAGAGCGTTGTACACTCAGTCCTGTAACCGTAAGGTTTGCGGTGAGCTTCCACCAGAGTCTGTCTCGTTTATTCCTATATTTAGCAACCATATAAAGATTCCTGCCCATTCTCAAGTCTGTAAAGTAGAAACACCATCAGGATATTCCCTTATAGATCAAGTGCACAGACGATACCGCTATTCTTGGATCGGACGTTATGCACACGATCGTAGTAGTGGACACTTCTGCTGCACCACTTCATGTGTGCTTCATACCTGTAATAGATGGAGTGCAATTCGAAACCAAATCAAAACCTAAAGCTTGCAAACTAACCAGAAGATACAGTTGGCCAATAATTCACTTGGGTGGTGCAATGAACTCGCTGGTCTGGATAAAGAAACCCTCGAAATAGGCTAGGGCGATCACTATGAATCCGCACGTATGTTGTGTCTTGCGGACGGTATTGCAACTCAGTCAGTACTTGGCTTCCTGTTCCGCCCACTTTAGCATGGTAAAAGGAAAGGTTAATTGAAACGACCCTTGGAGATCAAGGAAGTTTGTTCCAACTGTAATTACTGGGTGGAATGTTCGTGAGGCAAGAAGCGCCGGCAACAAATGATCCATCCTGATTGAGTGGCACAACAACCAGTCAGGACATACATTCGTCAGCTCCGTAACTGCTTCGCGACGCACCCGTCCAATCGACATGACATCCGGTTACTTAAAGTGGCTCGCCTCCAGACAAAAGCAATGTCAATTAGTGTAGTGCGTCCCGTAATTTTATAAGGTTCAGTGACCTGGACTCTACAAGCAGAATACGTCACTATGGTTCTGGTATTTGAACGTTGGGGCCTTGGAAGTATTGTCGGGACAAATGAGAATCCCTGATCTGAGGATAAGGTGCTGGACGATGGTAGGAGCCAAAGAGATGAAGGCTGTCACCACGAAAGTAGTTACACCGTCGACCAGAATGAGGCTAGCGTTAGGGAAACGCTCAACAAGTAAGTCGACCTATATTGCAGTGTCTGTCGAGGACCAGTGTCCCAACTGAAGTGTTAGCCTAACATAGAGCGTTGTACACTCAGTCCTGTAACCGTAAGGTTTGCGGTGAGCTTCCACCAGAGTCTGTCTCGTTTATTCCTATATTTAGCAACCATATAAAGATTCCTGCCCATTCTCAAGTCTGTAAAGTAGAAACACCATCAGGATATTCCCTTATAGATCAAGTGCACAGACGATACCGCTATTCTTGGATCGGACGTTATGCACACGATCGTAGTAGTGGACACTTCTGCTGCACCACTTCATGTGTGCTTCATACCTGTAATAGATGGAGTGCAATTCGAAACCAAATCAAAACCTAAAGCTTGCAAACTAACCAGAAGATACAGTTGGCCAATAATTCACTTGGGTGGTGCAATGAACTCGCTGGTCTGGATAAAGAAACCCTCGAAATAGGCTAGGGCGATCACTATGAATCCGCACGTATGTTGTGTCTTGCGGACGGTATTGCAACTCAGTCAGTACTTGGCTTCCTGTTCCGCCCACTTTAGCATGGTAAAAGGAAAGGTTAATTGAAACGACCCTTGGAGATCAAGGAAGTTTGTTCCAACTGTAATTACTGGGTGGAATGTTCGTGAGGCAAGAAGCGCCGGCAACAAATGATCCATCCTGATTGAGTGGCACAACAACCAGTCAGGACATACATTCGTCAGCTCCGTAACTGCTTCGCGACGCACCCGTCCAATCGACATGACATCCGGTTACTTAAAGTGGCTCGCCTCCAGACAAAAGCAATGTCAGTTAGTGTAGTGCGTCCCGTAATTTTATAAGGTTCAGTGACCTGGACTCTACAAGCAGAATACGTCACTATGGTTCTGGTATTTGAACGTTGGGGCCTTGGAAGTATTGTCGGGACAAATGAGAATCCCTGATTGGCACTGCCGAGGCCCACCGAATGGGAGAGCGACAGATGAAATAACAACGTTTTGTAAGTTGCGCTGGCTTGTCCACGAGCTCCGAATGCCACGGCCTCAAAACTACTCTCACCCAAAATCAAAGTAAGGCCAGTTCCCATCCTGGCAACACAATATGTGTCATTACCGGTAAACTCAATCGCACAGAAAAAGTGCCCGAAACCAGGCGCATCAAGACAAACGACATAACGGACTGGGTCCACCCATCTATCGAACAGCCTTTTCGTGTCCAAGTTGCTGGTTTGACCTTACCACCGACTTTTGCACCAATGGAACACGCTCCAACCTGAACACGGCCACAAGTGAATCGATACTCCAGAATCTTAAGCTGTCATCTCCAACATGCGATTCTTTCAGTTAACCCAATATTTACCAGTGAAGGAAACAGGAGCAGCTGAAGCGATTGTGACGTAAATAAGTTTACAGCTGATGATGATGCTCACGCGGCAATCGATTTTGTGAGAAACTGTGATTAACTTGGAGTTGACTAACCGAGGGGAATTATTACCGGTGAATATGTACTGACCGGACCGGAATAAGGACATAATGGAGCCAAGTAATATCATTGAAGATGTTGCCACTCAACACTTTTTGGTAAATCATGTTAAACATCGAAATAGTGCGGGAAGAATGGATAAGAAGACGTCCATCCATTCAGTGAGTAGAAAGACGTTCGATAAACATTCGACCTAAGAAGGACCGAGAGTTCGTGCACAAGAAAACGATTGTGTTCGGTTTCATGGGGCTCCATGAATACGCTTGCAAGCTTCACGTATGCTCTGTGTGGTGTTTCCTTCCGCATTGGTTCTCATCTGACAGCCAAATATCACCTGTGACCTACTGTAGGTGCGTCATGGCGGCAGCGGCGTCGACAAAAGGTGAAGCTAGGCGAGGGTACCCCTTTTTCTGCACTTGATTTATGTATGCCTGCATTGCATGGTGACCGATATCTGTGTCACCATCGAAGTGTACGCAAGTCGCCTTGCATAAGCAACATGAAAAAAACGAATTGACATTGTTGTGGAAACTCACCGGAAATATTGCAAATGTTCTGGATTGACGGAAGAGGCTGGATTGATCTGTAAGGAATAGTTGGTTCCACTGGCATATTCGAATAGGCAGTACATGGGGTTCAGAAGTTCTACGGAGAGTTTGAAAAAGAATTCCCTGAAAAGCCAAAGAATAGGAAAGGCAATATGGTTGATGGGGATAGATACTCATAGGCGAAATTTTCCGAGAGAGCGCGTACAGGAACTGACCAACAATGAATAATTGGGGGTGAACAGAGGGATCTGGAGCAAATAATACTGGTACAACGATGTCATTACTGGAGAGCGTTGACCATTGAATGCACAAATGTGGATGGAGTGAGCGATTTCACTGTGGCATATATCAATGGTTAAATATCAGCAGGATCAGTTGACCAACGGTTCTCATGTATGAAAGCCAAAATTTTCGACAGATTGCTGTCCCAACATCCACTTCATTAATTACTTGTGGAAATTCGGTGCCAACGTATGGTTACACGNTGTCCCAACATCCACTTCATTAAATACTTGTGGAAATTCGGTGCCAACGTAGTGGTTACACGACGCCTTCATTGCGCGGTTGGGCAATGAAAGGGTGGCTAGACGCGAGTCCGGTATGGGTCCTACGGTTGAGGAACAGACACACAATGATCACTTCAACCCGGCGGTTGCTGAATATCAGCAAAGCTATTCCCCTGGTGGAGACATTGTCGACATACTACAGATCTAAAATGAGCATGCATACACTCGGCTAGACAACGGGGTACCTTATTACCTCCCTTCCCGCCTTGTGCAATCGGTCACTAAGCTGAAAGTGGCAGTAAACGACAGCATTGTCTTGCACCAAAAGTCGCTGGAAATTCGCTTTATATTTATTCATGTTTTCGAATCCCAGCCGTAGTGCCACTATAGTAAAAGTTTACGAAAACGCGGAACTCCAGTGCAATTATGTCTGATAAAATTTTTTCAATATAATTTACAAGGAGTAGATTCGGAATGGAATAGAAACTAGTGAGAAGCGATCATATGCTACTGACATTTGCTTCGATGTACAAAACTCGAGATTCCTCAGAAGTTAGGGCGTGAAGTTATTGATGGGAAGGTCTGTGATTCGAATTTGAACCCCGGATCTAAACTGACCCTGATTAGGCTTGGGCTACCTGGCAGTATTCTAGCCCTCGGGATTCATTCGGGTGGCATAGCAGCTAGGCTCTGGAAGGGCGCCACAGCTAACTGATGACCTCTATTGGTTTTATTACACAAAGCATCCATGTGGTCTAAATGTCTGGTCTACATAATCCCATCCAAGTCGAAATTCACTCATGGTGAGTAGGTCATCAGCATGTCATGAGAAAACTTCGAAGAAGCCCAAGTGCCAGTTACATCAACTTCCCTCTTCCGGCTGCGCAACTCTGGTGACACGGGTGTCGTTGTGTGTTGGGCCGTCAAGCGGAGGAGTCTTCGCGCTGATCGTTTTTCAACTTCCGTGAAAAATAGAGGTACGTGTTAATTACAGTTTCACGCCCCGACGGATGTGGTTCTGAATCTGTCGAAGACAGATTCCATGGCGCTTTGGGTGCTGTTTACAACTGACGAAAAGCTCATACATCGTTGGGATCGCTGGATGCAAGCCTCAAATAAGTGGTCAACTTTGGTTGGACAAGAAACGCACGGAAAACGGAGACGACCGGCTGCAGGTTTGTGCTCATTCGCAGTACCGACCTCCTGAACACAGTGGAAATCGTCTGAAAACTTGAAAACCAACAACCAACAAGTCCCAGCCCAAACAGACCGCAGCGCTATAAGTTACAGGTGACGAGCGTCGACCACTCCGTGGTGCCACTTCGCGAAGCATCTGCGTGGACTCCGACGCCTCACCGGTCCGGTGATTTGTCTATCAACAACAGTTAAGATGGCCGGCAGCCACTTCCAGTCCGGATTTTGGCCATTGGTAGAAACATGGACTGCAAATATGGAGTTCCTTGAAGCCTCAGGAGTCGGGTCGACTGGATATCACTATGCAAGTGTCATGACACTTCCGACGACCTTTCCGTTCTCTGTTCTAGCAAAGAATTACTCAGTCAGTGCCACTCCAGGCAATCCGCGATTATCTGGGAGGAACAGGCTGTCTCAGGCAACTAGACTGAGTCGTCAAACCAGCCCATTTTCACGAATAACAAGTGGTGAAAGTATCGAACAAAGATATCGGTTTTACTTCCGTTGTAATAAGACTTCAGGTCTCGCTGGTGGTACGAGAAGCTGCATGTGAGCATCAATCAGGATTTCGAGTGGGTAAAGTTTGTCTAGACTACATCCTCACACTATCAGTTGTTGTAGCAACGCAGTGTGCAGACCACCCACGATCTTGGATTTCCTCAACTTCGGAGACGCATCAGCTACTATGCCTCTAACTACCATTAAGAAACACGTGATACCTCAGCAGTTCTCCGCATAGTTCCATTCCTATATTCACATACTTCTGAGGGTGAGAGCTTTGTTGATCTAAATCAAGTACACAGAAGAAACCGTTCCAATCTTTGAAGAAGAACAATAAGCACAAGCACCGTTGTATGAACTGACCATCAGCAAACCATGCTTCGAGATTTGCCTTGCATATACAGAGTGGCGAATCATTCTTCAGAACAAGCAGCCTTTGAAAACATTCCCTGCAACTCCAGGAGAAGTAGTGTACAGCCCCGTAGTTGCATTCGCATAGATGGAAGTGTCTTATGAAGTCAGTACACAGGTCTCAAAGGCCCAGATCACGCTTGCTAATTCGCGTCACTTGTGGTGTCAAAAGGCATACCACTGAGTCTCAACGGTCACATATACCAGAATACAGTTAGGACTTCGATGTTGTGTGGTTGACTACTGCGGACAGATGATGTGAGACGTCTTCAGGCTGTTGAACACTGATGTCTCAGAAATGTCGCTGGCGTTCGATGACACCAACGAATTCGTAAAGAAGTGGTTTGAAGACGGGTATCTGGTTGTGCAGTAGGTAATTTTGTCACAAAAGAACATCCAGCACCATAAATTATGATGGCTCGGGCCGTGTGCCACTCACACGGAAACGTCGGTTACGGAGACGACCACTGTCCGCTGTGTCCTCTTAGGAACAGCGTCAACCTCGAGGTGGACAACGCATGACCTAAAGAATTGATGTGAAAGAGATTACGAAGAGTTCAGGTGTTGGTACGGGGCGCCTTCCAGGACGAAGTCTTCATCAGCCCTATCCTGTGCATGACTGGAGACATTGCAGTAAATGGCGACTAAGCGATGTCACGGGTATTCATGCTATCAGTTTATTTCCAGATTGCCTGATTGAGTGCTTGGGGTCTAGGCATCTAAGGTGTTTGCTGTGGGTTGACATTAGGTTCCTCCTTATCCACTCGTTTCTCATTTTCTGGCATTGAAGCATCAGAACCAACAGTGATGCCACTGTATCTGATGATGATTCGCCTGTGCTAGACCCGTGAACGATTGAAAGCTTTGTTCTCATTACCTAACACAGGTCTCTGTGGCTGTGAAGAGGGCTGGATTACTGGGTCTGGCACACATCAACGATTGGCTAGCTTTAATTGATTTCTAATCATTTCTTCTTCATTGACGCACTTTATATCACTTCAGAGTGAAACTTTGCTGGGTGAAAGTTTTCCTAATCGTGAACCGGGGATCCATAGGGTGATAGTACCGGAGAAAGCATGCGATCAAGTAACTGACTGAGTCCGATTGTATTGGAAGCTTAGAGATTCAGTCGAGAATGAGATCAATTTTGCGGGTGCTTAGAAGCTTTGGTGACATCCAGTTGCATCCAGTATCGGGGATTGCCGAGGTCTCAAACAAAGCTGTCATTTCAAAGACAAGCAGAAATTGCTTGCTTTCAATGCCTGTCTCCTTAGGTGAGCTCCCTGTGAGAACTTCTTGAATCAGTAACTATAATGCCTCGTATAGGCACAATCAGGATATTGTTGCGTTCTCATGGGTATCGAGATGGAAATCACCATATGGATTATCTAGTAACTCACCTGTGTGCAGGAACTACAAAAGATCACTTGAGATGAGTGCACCTTGTCACCACTGCGGTGACTTCTAATCCTATCGATGAAACCAGGGGAATTTCGAACTGGGGATCTTTCAAAATTAAGCTGACCCAAACAGACAGCTCATGAACTCAAACGATGTTTTGAAACGATTTAGTAAGGACCGTTAGACAAAATAGACATGTACCTGGATAGACCACCGTAATCTAAGCCTTCCTCTCCCTCAAATGTGATGTAGAGCCGTCGTCGAAGCTCGTGGGTGTTTAGTTGCATAAACTGATCGAATGAATCTTCCAGAAGGCGAGCACGGGAAACGTTAATTTTTGTCGTTCCCTGTACGGCGTTGGAATGGCATAGGTAACGGAAACAGGAGACTTTGTGTTCGAAAGACCATTCTTTTTTCACAGAGCTGCAAAGCAGAAGTACAAAAAATCCGGTTGAGTTGTTGAAGTAAACAATTAAATCACATTCACAAAATCTTTGAATTTGTCGCGAAAGGTATTTAACAAAAACTCAATAGTTGGGTTAAATAAACGCCGCAGATGGTGACCAAAAATTACTGATATCAACCTGGAAACATGTCCGTCTGTCAATCAACAGGCGACATTCAAAATAAGTCGACGCTCAACTTGGGTTCCAGAGCGGTAAGTCACACAAATGCGCGTGCGCAAATGCGAGGAATCCGGCGACGCCCAGGATGCTGCTGACTATGAGTAAGGGACTACAAATATACCGATAAGAATGACAATTACAATACAAGAACGTCCGTGTTGTAGCTACAACACATCTCAGATGGCTTAAATACGCAGCCTCTCTCCAGAGCAAATCCTTCTAATAGTGATCACGAATATGGTTTTGACAGGAGGATCAACTGAATCCAGCTAAATTTTTCGTTTACAATGGTTTAATTCAACTGAATGGGCCACCTCATGTTTCCGTACAAAATTCGAGAAACCGCAATAAGTTGCCTAGATATAGCACACTACTCATAAGGTTTCTGACATCTCTGCGACACGCCACCACCGGTTTCACCTTTTTTGAGACTACCCGACGAGCCAAAAGAAGTGCATGGAAAAGAATAAAGACCGTGTGCGAAAAGACCTCACAGTCTTCAGAAGCCGACGGTTGAGAAATAAATGTATACGGCCAGAAGACCCGTGGTTCGAACTCAACACTCTATCTCCTGTCTCGGCCTGGGCTACCTGGCAATATCTTAGCCTTCGTGCTTTCTTTGGGTGGCATGGCAGATGGGCACCGGAAGGGTGTTACTGCTGATCGATTATTATTCTTACTCTGTGGAGCGACCGGTGATCAAATGCCACAAAGCAGTTGAGGTAGTGAGGTCTCACAATAATAAGCGGTTGTTTCACTAAATACGGTCCTTTAGCTGAAATTCGTTCTGACGCAAGAAAAACGAGACAAATAGGTGGATTATTCTCACGCCTTCATAAAGCGAGTTCACTACCAAAACAGTCGCCAGTTACGGAACTGTCATTCAACGATCCAAAGTTCTTCACCGTGAGTTTACAAACGGACAGATGAACTTAAAAGCCGAAAGCAAGACTTTACGCCCTGAGAGTGCGAAACGCCTGTCTGAACATTGAGCCAGTTCCAACAACCTATTTAGACTGGACGAATATACAGTCGTCTGGCAACACACCAGTGTTGTCCGCAAAGCCCTTCAACATTTCTCCAGGCATCATTTCAATTTCCATATCGACGGTTCCTTGGAGTGCGAATTATGCGATTGTATCTACCACAAAAAACGTAGATAGGAGACAACCTCGGAGAATGCCAATGGCTGTTGGGAGACTTTTGAACCGTTAACTGTAAACTCCAATATAACCTGAAGGTAGGAAGTTTACTCACAACACCAGGGGCAATTAATCTTTGTACAAGTGAGTTAGCGTTATTCTACCTACAAATCCAAACACCACTTTCAAGTGGAGGTAAACGCAAGGTGTTGGTCGGCAGCAAGCTCGGCAGTCCTTGAGTATTCGACGTGACGAACTGGAGTGAGACGACGCACTATGAAGGAAACTATCATAAGGTTTGTAAGGTTTGTGTCCCTGTTGTCGTACCAGTGGATTCAAGTACCTTTTTGGATAGAATTATGACGACAGATAATCCTGTTTCCAAATAATTTAGCACAATTTAGTCAAAGCAAGAAACACTAGCCATTTCTTTTGAAGGCGCTAATAGTAAAATAATGGTAAACGTGACACCTGTGACACCTTTTGGTGCCTAGACGGCATACTATCTGAAAGAAGCATGAGGGCTGAGATACCGCCAAATAGCCTAAGCCTATAACAGAAGCAGTTGAGATGCTGAGGTTCGGTTTGAACCAAGGAACTCCCGGACAGTACGTTCGCATATTCACCACTGAACCATCTGATCCAGCACGCCAAGTGGTTTTCAGGCAAGAAAACAGATATTATTGCTTCAAAGACTGAGGAATGGCCTGAACTGACAGGCTGTGGCTCGACTGGAACGGAGCTACATATGTTTAAGGTGTAAGTACAGCGACCAGTATTAAAATCAGTGCCAGTTCGCAGTGGACAGTTGTGCAACAGGGAATTCGTATTTCAAGCGCACTTAGGAGAGCCAGTGGGGAGAGATCACGAACTGGTGGCTATTTAACTCACTAAAAGAGCTTGCAGCAAGTTGATATGCGGGTAGTGTAAGGAATGGAGTGGTACGATGAAAAATCAGAATAAGACCGGGACTAACAGCTATCAGACCACTGGTTCGGAATGGCTGCCAGAGAGCAGGCAACAGCTGTTCGAAAAGCAAAGAGGGACCATCTTCGAAAAGTTGAATTGATGGGAAACCTCCAAATAGCACACGGCCACCTAAGAAATCCGAAAATGTCTAGAAGAAACAGTGAACTTTTCAGAGAGCGATGAACGAGAAGGATCGACCAGCAATAACCGAAGATATGCACAGAAAGACCTATTCTAGTTCCCCACCCGAGACATCGGTTCATCGAAGAGAGGCGCACAGGGAATAAGTGTGCATGCGTATAACCGTTGGTCCGATTGTCTAGCTCCGTGCTACAGTAGAACTAGCGCCCTCCTCATGGCGACCGCCTTGAGGTTTCCAATGGGAGGTTTAACAATAAGTCACCACGCCATACGTCATATCCAGCAACAAATGGACTGAAAACGTAAGACATACTTTGCATCACCCCGTCGGGGATCCACAAAAGTGGTGATCTTCTGGATATGATTGAGGAAGAATGGGCATCCCTCTGGAGTGACACGAACTTCCCAACCACGAGGTAAAGGGGGTCCTTGCAGTCTTGGATCTTCCCATTGAGTGGTCCGGCTAGTATGATTTACAAAGTAGGACCGACCCTGGGGATCGACACGACGTTCTGGAGAGCAAAAATAAAAGGCGAAATGTGGGATTAAGGCTGGTCAATGTCATTCGATATAAATGGTTGTATTTGAGAGCATCTGCAGCAGGCGCTACGACACAACAAATGATGACCGGACAGGAAATAAGTATTGTTTCTTCGGTGCGGGAAAATGACACTGGCGACGGGGAGCCCAAAGGAAAAAGGTTCACAACGAATTTGGTCGGTGGAATCAGATGTCCAAATGATTCACATTACGATCTCGGGTTCCCGCATTGTTGCAGCACATGAAAAACGGAAAACCCAGTCAAGAAGCTGGATGCTGAAACACAAAACTTTGTGTTATCGGCCGCCTACTAGACCATAGCAAATGTGCCCGGGGTATCGCGTCCAATCTAGCTGCAAAACAATCCCCTCGTATATCATGTGATATGTGTTTTAAAGTTAGTGAATCAGTTTTATCACACTAGGGAACTGTCCATTTTGTCCGGACAATTGAAAAAAGTTCAATTATTCATCGGTACGGTGTCTGACGGGATCAAACAACCGTACCGGTGGTTATTTTCACTGCGAACGAAATGATCTCAAAATAGCAAAAATATACACTGCGTCCTGCTAGGACTGCACTGACAGTAAACTGACTGAAATTCATCTATTCTGAAAACTAAATTTTTCTGCGAAGCGGACAATTAGAAGACGACTGCGATCAAAATGTTACTGGACTTTCAGGATAAGGGTGGTAAATCCCTCAGTGTCTGAGCTTCGGCTGTTGGCATAATAACGAAAAGAGCCTGTCAACATCTACACTGGGTGACTGATCATTTACAGCTTACCAAAGTCACACACAAGCCTCTCTCAATGTCTCAGTCTGATGTTTCCACTGGGATATATGCGAACTCACGCTGCCCACCGCTATACGAGTCATTCGACCAAGGGATAATATCCACGTGGGACATGTAGGTGCGGATAGTGAGAGCAGTTGCGTCCTACAACTTGCACTGTGCCTATTGCAACAGTCAGCGTGCCAAAATGTGGTACATTTTATACTTCAGGGCGGGAACAGTTTTCTCGAATGATCCCCATGATAGTTCAGAATGAATTACGTAGCTTATGAAAAATACCATTGGGGTGTGAGAAGTGCTACGTTATAGTGTGGGGAATTACTAAAGGTGTAAACATAAAATCAACTGTTACAAGCAATACGTCGATACGCTGAGAGCCCGCATGTGGTCAATGGTTGCTGATCCACTCGCCGAGCTAAATCGACCCGAACGTACGCTTACAATTTCTATGTGATTGGTGACGGAACATTTAAAGGACACTTGGTCCTATCGTCACCCGTATGATATTGCATGCTGGACTCAGCAGCGAATTATGCCAAGCATTGAAAATCAACAGGCAGCTGGTAAGTCTGGGGGAGTATGCTGAAACACCTGGCAAGTAAGTAATCGAAGATAAGGCAACATCAGTGTTCACAATGGTGCTTCGCTGGAGTACAATAAATGAAAAAGAGAAACGAGTGGATGAAGAAGGGATTTGGTGATACCCTATCACAAGCATCTGAGGTCCACACGCTCACAGCTCCACGTCCAAGCGCTCAATCAAACAATCTGAAGAGAAACTGACAGACTCACACAGATGAACCACCACTTGTATTATATCCAGCCAAGCACAGGACGGGGCACAGGGGTCCAATGCTGGAAGGTGGATCGCACCAACAACACCTAAACGCTACATAATCCTGTTCACACTTCTGTCAAGTCATACGTTGTCTACCTCGCAGTTGGTGCTATTCTGAAGGATGCATAAAGATCAGTGATCATCTCGGTAGACAATGTTTTCGCATGCGTGGCATATGGCCGATCCATCACAGTTGATGTTCTCCACGATTTAAGTACCTGCCATACAACCAGATACTCGTAAAGAATTCATTGATGTCATCAAACACCAAAAGCTCCCAGAGGCATGCGGATATAAGGGCAGATTTATGTTCAAAAGCCTTTGGAGGCATCCTTGTTCACCGAGGGTAATTAGAAACATGGAATCTAATGCATCTTCGATGTCAAGGAGAACCAAAATCGTTGGTGGTCTGCACACACCGTGCTGTCATAACACCTGACAAGATTTGCAGATGTAGTTAGTGCATGTTTTACCTGCCAAATACCCACAGGTCACGGTTTCTTATGCCACCGTAAGATGGCAAAGAATCAGTGAGGCCAGAAGCCTTGTTACAACGGGAGTCAAAATAATACCTCAATTGGACTACCCTTTTTGAAGATTGGCACTAATATTAACTCAGTCCAGCTCATTCCTTCAAGATAGGCGCAAACGGGTTAGATGCTTTGGCTGAGTAATTCATCGGTTCTCTAGAATAAAAAGAGCTGGAAGACGTCGGAAAAAGGAGTGCGGCAACGGGTATCCATTCGACCACTTTTGAGGCTGTAGGGAGCTCCATACTTACAGTCCGCGTTTATACCAGTGGCCAGTATGGATTGGAAGTGATCAGAGGCTATCTAAATTGTTTTTCGGACAGTCCTTTGCAGAGCCAGTGTGACCCTTTATGGTTTTACTGACAAGCCTTTCCGAAGACCTGTGGAACAGCGTGCGGACGTTTCCAGTATTACTCGCGTGTCCCATTTGTTCGGCCTGTTGGATCCAGCAAGCTTCATGGCCTGCTCAGTTCTAGCTGGCGTCAATGATGAGTCGAGTCCGAATGTGGTTGAGATCAGGGGGATATATTGGGTAGAGTTGAAAAGGACAATAAAAGCAGCAACGGACAAGTGCACGGTCGGAGTTCATGCAGGTATCCCAGGTATCCCGATTTCCGCTGTTCCTGTATTGAAAAAGATCCTCCATCTGGCACTGTCCGTTGTCCATGTGTTTCGTGTCCAATCAAAGCAGCTCTGCGCTTACCTACTTGAGCGATCACATCAGCACTGAGCACAACAATGTGGGCTTTTAACCCATTGTGAAAGAGCAATGTTGAAACGGTCTTTAGGATGTTCAGAGCTACAGTCCGTTGCAGGTGAGAAAAGATACAATAAACAGAGCGATGAACACCACGTTCCCCAGATTCTTTTGCAGACGTTGCCGAACGAACAATGCAGAAATGACTATCAATCAGCATCCAGTTAGGTAGACACCCTCGCTCGATGGTTCGACAAAATATCCACACCAGCGTATACAGCTGTAACGGCCACCGTGTTACCAGAGGTGCACAACCGAAAGAGGGCAGACAGCGACGTTGCAATCCGTTCAGTTGTAGTAACTGAGTCCTGGATTCTTGTTTCTAGAGAACAAAATTCGCCCGTGCAGGTGGAATTCAGCATACGGGGAACACCACTTACGGTTCCCGCTTTATTCAGTGTGCGGACACTGAAAGCTAGGCGGACTTGTTTCATAGATTTGAAAACTGAGTTCGTGTTTTGGCGAAGGAAACTTAGGAACCGCAGCTGAGCGAGATCCTTGGTGATCAAAGCGGCCAGTTTCAAGATTTTCAAAAGACCCAAACTCCTATTTGGGTTGGATAGGAGAAAGATGAAGGAGTACGTTTTGCCCTCCCACTCTAAGCAGCGCGAAAGGCGACCGCCGATTTAGTACGGCAATAGTTTTAGTTGTGGCATTCATGGTTGTACGTAAGCTGGGATGCCGACATGGTGCACAGGACTAGAAAAGTGGATGATGAGGGTCCTCAAACAAAGACTTTAGCTTGAAAGACTACAAGGTAGCTGGGAGTTACTACAGTAGCTATAGTAGTATATTTTTTGAGGAACAAACTACCATGGATGCCCCAGCCCCCATCATGGTAGACCAGACTGTTCGTCAGACCTCCATTCAATAGTCAGCATGGTATGGGAGACTCTGTAGGTGAAACTGGTATGACGCAAAGGGTCACAAAGGTAAACAAACCGCCACACCAGGATAAGTTCCAGTGGCTTTGCAGTCTCTGTCATCCATTCGCTCCTTTTGGTCCTTCCTACCTGGAACTTGGGATCTTCGTACAAGTTTTTGTTTCCCGGAACAACATGATAACCAATGAAAACAAAAGGGCCAATATGGGCATACTGAATTTCATTTTCTGAATACCACCGAGTACAGAACTCAGGGGGCGAGTCCACAGGACACGCTTCCTCGTGGTACGAATTGGATTCTTTTTGTTTACTTAAAAGGGATTATTGTTGTTTCGATAACCGGGGCATTGTCTCCTGAGTGAGCTAATCGAAGTTTGTCACTTACGTCCATCCGGGATCCTCAGGGATTTGGAACTGCTTATCCTGAAGTATGTATCCCAGAGATATTTTGATCATGTTGGAGATTTGTTTGACTTAGTAAACGAGAGTGCAACATCCTTCCCATTTAGGTCGAGGTTCATTTGACTTCGCCAGTCAAGGTCTTTTTAGAATGTTAGCAACCTAAGTTGTCCGAATAAACTGCGTACGAGCATTTTTATTTCCTTTAGGACTAACCATTTTGTTGCCTCCCCCTTGAAGCAGAAGCCGGCATCCGGAAACAGCTGTTGTGTGTCTTAGCGTGGCGTCTCGAGAAAGAAGCCAGATTACAACCTTCAAAAGTGTTAACCTTATATTGGGATTCCCCAGTAAAGCACCGATATGGCTTTACTCATCATCACCTCCGAACAGAAGACCAGTATTTGGAAGCAACACGATGCGCTAATGCGCTCTTCACCAAGTTTTCCTCACGACCTTTAATTACTTATGCTTTGCATCGATTAATTACATGAAGCTATCCATATGCTTCTTGTTGGGAGGTGGATGTTGCAGGGGGTATGCTAGCTCCATCATAGAACCTTCAACAGTAGCAGCGCTGTCGGGGTATTCCCCCTTTCTAGAAGGTTGCCTTTTTTGACGGCTCGGCGTACTGGATATCGGATCGGCCTCGATAGTTTTCAGTAGTAACTGCTGCGAAGGCGAAGCACAGCCTACACGCCTATGCATAAAATCTCATGAACTGACACCTCGTAGGTCAGATACTCGCAAATCCGTAGGCGACAAGATGCACCCGCACATATCGAGTTGTCTAGGTGTGCATCTGAGACATCTGCACATTCGTTTTTAGATTGTTTGACTTCCGGTCGAAGTGCAGGGCATTTCTGTCTGGGGCAGGGTAAACCATTGTCAGAAAACAGAGAGAAGCATGGTTGAAAAAGCCGCAAGTAAAACGAAACGTACCCCATCCTTCAGGCAAGGGTCCTAACAGATCCAAACCAGATGTGGCTGCAGCACTGGTTGCCGGCGCACCAGAGGTATTGAACCCGATCGAACCGGCATTCCAATTGGCATTCGCATAACGCTGATCCATGTCCTGTTGCATGGCGCCGCTACGAGAGTCAGAGAACTGCCTCCACTCTCGAATGTTACTAAGTAGCGTTGGGCTGGGATGTTGCCATGTAGTAGTGCGTGTATTATGGTCTACGTAGTACACTCGACCGTGTGCATCCAGTCGGCGTTCCCAACTGGGGGTATGCAAAAAAATAAGGCACACTGATAATGGTGAAAAAGCCTTCCTAGTTCGCGCAATTCAAGCTAAAAGACAATACGGGATGTACCTACTTTAGGTGCGCGGCAAGCAAGCTCAATCTTTGATAAGAGCTACATGCGTACATATTAATCAGCAAATGAATACCAACAGGAGTGAACCTAGTTTATCCCAAAGATTGGGTTCGGTCCGGATATACCTAATGCATCCAGTAGAAAACTGTTACTTTCCCGCTTTGCTCATTCTTACAACTACAAGACTGAAAAAACCATGAGCGCTGAGACGCTACCACACTACACACTTATCGTTCCACTGAACGCTGCTTCCTTTCGCATTAAGTGGTGAAAGGTATGGCTATTCCCCATACTAAGTGTTCTCTATCCTCCGAGCTTTTAGTGCCAGCCAAAGCTCTCCTTACACTCTTTATTATTTGGCATTTGAAGGGTTTGCGTGCACCCCTATATCCGTTGCCTGTTGATAGGAATTCTCAAGCATCAATCATGAATAGCGATCTCGACTAGATCCAGTGTTCTTTTGATTTGATAGCACATTCTACATGCTGAAGTGTTCGATTCCGGTGCTCATTACCAGTAGAGCGCTGGTTTTATACAGAGCGGCTGAGCTAATACAGATATGTACCGTTGAGTTATTGTAATTCTCCAAAGATGATGGATTAGCATGTTCCTTGCTGACTTGCGAGGGCTAGAAGGAAAGCGAACTCTCGGACGTGCTCGCAACACAGTGTGATTGGGATCAAGTTGTGTGCTCCAGAAAGAACGGTAGTCCTGAACTGTGACTCTCTACATGTGACTGACGGCCAAGTGACCTCGTTAGGTCCATGATTAGTTTGCACTCGGTGGCCACCAGGTTACACGATGCGACAGTTTATGGTGGCAATTCGTCCAGGCTTGAAACAGCTGATGGTTAGCATACAACTGGAAAGTGGGTCGGAAAACAAGGGTCATATAGCTGCTGATCAAATAATGTAAGGTCTGCTCGTGGAAGTGACCGTCCTTGGTACCCAACCGCAGGTGCAATTATTCGTTACAATCAACGATAGCAAACAGGGATATGGCAGTCAATGCTCCACTAAAAACTGTTTATCAGTGGCCCCATAACTTAGAGCAGGTAAAATATTTCGGTTGTTTTTTCGGTACCAAACTTTACTAATGTGGCATCTCAACCATACATCGGAATTTTTTGTGGACATACCCTGGGGGTAAGGGGGACGGTCGGACCCAAGTCGTGGTCTTTGTGAGGTGATCTAGGTAATAAGCACGACCGTTTGGAGCCACCCGACGTTCCCAGTGAGGAGGCAGTGGGGTGTCACTGACATCCTCTCCATTTGGTGTAGATGGACCACCGTTGGGCTCTGGTGCAGCGGGATACGTTGTAGGCGGACGAGGGGGAGGAACTGTGGTAGTTGAGGAGTGCACGCTGTCGGAACGGGTTTGGCGGTTGGTCTGGAATAGTAAAGGTGTACGTACAAACCAGAAACTGGATTTATCAAACGGAACAGATAACATATAAGTAACCGAAAGTAGTTGGGAGTCGGTGGTGAATATCACCATCGCTAAAATGATCAAATTGAGGAGCTTTTAGTCCTCTGCTAGAAAAATGTGCAGTTCATCCTTGTTATAAGAAACATCTAGCTGGGAGACACGTCAGCAATTCCAATTTTCAACCGCAAATATAACCCCCCACCCCTCTTAAAGATACCTCTGTCCAAGAAGCAATTTTTGTCATCAGTTCGATCCTCCAGGCTGTCAAGTAGTTAAATAAGGAAACCCTGCGTCTACTGAGTAGCATTCCGGACAACGTGGGGATGGTAAGCAGTTCCAACCGCAACCCTGAGCTCATTCGAATGCGAGTAAACGAAGAGCGAGCCGGAGTTTTACTCAGAAAATCTGACGCACAGTGCGAAGCAAATAATGCATACGTAGCTTCGAAGGTAGAATAGTCCGGAAATCGGGTGATATTACATCTGGGAAGTTGTCGCCCGAGGAGCCGTCGAGCACGTAAGCGTGCGACGTGAATTGCATGAAAGAACGGCAGATGGTCTTATATCCTATCTAAGCAAGCGTTAGTCACACTACCAATCGACCGCCCGTGACCGAATGGTCTAGCCTTCTAGCACTACCTTGCATATCACTTGTTGGTATCTCCTTGGTAATTATCATCATTGACAGCGATACACCAGAAACAATACTGGTGCTTCACTGACATACAAATACGACGGAAGCGAAGTGTCTTTAAGGAAAACGACTAAGGAAAATGTGCCTACAGCTCTGAAAAGCATTAAAATAAGCAAATCTGAGTACCATGTCGGAAAGAACGAGATCTTTAGCTGGACAGTCAAACTAAGAAATGGCGATATGAACAAATGAGGTCGGTCGCATACCATATACTGCATGATTCCTAACCATATTCATGCAGCCAGGAAGGTACGAAAGTCCTACAACAATCTCCTCAATTATTGGGAGAAGCAGAATGCCTATGATTCCCAAAGATGATGAAACGCCTGTACTTCTGCTGCCGTTGCCGCTTCTAGGCTCTTCGGCATAAATTGGCAAAATATCGATTAAAATTCCAACATTTTCCCACATTATCAACAAAAAAAAACTTTTGGAGACACTTGGGACTTTGAATGTCCACAAGAAGAGAGTTAACGTATGTAAATATCCCTCTCTGGATCTAGAGGCTTATCAGTGGTTTTTTCAACTTGAAGAAAAATATCGGCAATCAAGCATGACACAGCAGTTTTCATGAAGTACAAGCACTGAATTAATTAAATGGCTTCATCTATTTCCTTTTCATTGTAAAACCTTGTGACAACTAGGAACCGTCGCTTTGTTTTGAACCAAACTTGTAAATAAACAATGCAAGAACAGTTACAAAGCATCGTCGTGAAACTCAACTATACTGTTCACAACAGCGTCAACAGAGGATTTCTTCGTTTCAGTTGTGGATGGACTTCGGATTTCCAATTTGTGAAGGATTGCTTCGACTAACCTCAACTGAGACTCTCCGAATTTCGCCTGCTGCTGTTGCGAAATCAAAATAAGTTCTTCATGTGAAAGTGGCATTTTGGAGTTCGACTTCCAATTGTTCTGTCGCCAACTTGTTGTGGACCACATTCCCCCTAACGCCTTCTTATTACCATGAACCCCAGCCGCCTGATCGTCTGGTGTGCTTGAACAAACCAGGAAGTCAACGAACCTGCGAGTCAGCTGCTCTATTGATCACTGTCGCGTACAAGCGGTCAAAAGTGATACTAAGAATACAACTCATCAGTCAGGGGCGAGTGAAGAGCAACCAATGAAATCTGCCTCAACGCAAAACGGTTATTACATTGGCAGTTATTTAGTCCCGTTACGTTCGGAGCTGGTTCTCCTAATATTCCCCAACTATGATGCGACAGCTCAATTAGGTGCTTGTAGCGAGACCTAAATCTCTCCCAAAGTTCTGATCAACGGAATGGTTGCTTTTAAGTTATATGCTACCATATGCTATTTCGTCCGAATATCCCAAGTACTTTGCTTTGACTCCTCTTTGATCCGTTGAGCCCCAGTGGACGACCAGAATGTGGGGCACTCCGGCGATGATGTTTAGAACCTTCTGGAAATCCGAAACTAGTTACGGACATTCAGCGAGTTGAACAGTGTTTCTAGCAATTCCGGGAAATTTCGGAAACCCGTTGGTTAGAAAATACCTGGTCCGTCATACAGCAAGACCAATCTTGAGACCGAACTACTAGGTTTGACGAGGCCAGGCATGGCATGTAACCATACAAATTCCTTAGCTGTCTTGAAGCTCTCTTGGAGGAATGTCCCTGAATACTTTTAGGGTCGAAAGAACAGACACTTGTATCTTTGAATGAAGCCACTTGTGTGCTCCTACTGGGAAGCGAGATGGGGGTTTTCAGTGCCCATCGTTGCAGGTTATGAAATGAGCTCTCCTATAGAGCTCAAATGATACCACCAATTTACGAAACAAAACAACGTTCAACCTGTGGGAAGCAGTTCAACAAACGTCATTCCGATTATTACGTTGAACCACGTACGAGTTTTGGCTCGTATATCATCGATATTCGTGAGCGCCCTCAGTAGTTGTGACACTCACCTGCTGGTTTGAGCTGCCGGCGTTCAATGCATCGTTTAATTCTCGCGGATTCGCACCCAGCTGTACATAGAGCTTGCCAAGGTCAGCTATGCCAGCTTGGAACGCAACCGAGTCGGTTGGGAGACGATTGATCTTTAAATCGAAAATCCTATTGTCAACTGTCAGTGGCCGTGCAAGACAGAAAAAAGAAACGATAAGCAGCTGAAAAAAGCATAATGCCTCAGAAAGCAAGTATGAACAGTTACAACAACAGCCATGTTGAACCAAGAAGCTTCACTGTATTATAGCCGGATACTCTTTCACGAGAGCTTTCTCTAAAAACAACAGAATGAATGGGCCCGTCACCAGTGGTTAGGTCGCCTACAGATGCCACAAAATGGACGGCTTGCGTGGATCCGTGTGTGAGTCAGTGAATCTGATACAGCACCGAAGGAGCAAGATCGGTAGGCAGGCAGGCACGGAACTGACGTTACTCACTAGCTAAAAAGTCGTTCGGCTGTAAAAACCCTTCGGTTCCTAGCTGCCATGCCACAGAAGGAAGCACGATGGCTGGGAAACTACCAGGTCGCCCAAACCTAGACAGGGGAAATGGAGAGGCAAAGGTCGGGTTCGAACCACGAACCTTCCGGTTAGTAAATTCGCGCTCTAACCACTGAGCCATCTCATTGACTGGCCTGATTTGATGATATCGAGATGATAAAAATGACAATTTCAAAGAACGGAAACTAATATGAGAACGGACAGATAAATCCGGTTACCGCTAATCCTTGGCGAAGTCGTTTTATGCCATCGGGCTGAAGTTGACCAAACATCAGCTATGTTAAATGAAACGACTACTATCACTAACGAGAGTAAGACACTGTGGGAAAACCTCAAACTCCAGCCCTCATTCATGAGGAGATCGTAATGTACCTATTCCTGGGTGCATCTGACGAATTCATAGCGTTGGAGGCGGCCTGCGCATGAAATTTCGTCGTACAGAGTGAGGATCGACCTGTTTCCTTCTACAAGAATCGAAAGATGCGTGAAAGAAGTGTATCGTAAAGTGGCATTTAGTGCCACTTTGATTGGTTCCTGTGTGTTGCCGTTGGTGGGATTTCAAAGACGACATTCTATCTCTTTTTACCTTCAAAGATTATTCCAGAAACAATATTTCCCAACGAGTGCAACCTCCGAGCAACGCAAACGAGCAAGACAATGATTGGAGAAATATCGGAAAACGGAAGTAAGCCAAGTGACTCGCTTGGGAGCCGACCGATTGACCGATCTGAAATCTGATAATAACTAGAACTAAAAGATATACCGACCTAAATCGAAGGTCACTGTTGAAGTCAACGAAGTAAAGTTGACAAATCAGAAGGCGGAGCAACACCTGTGAAAATGCATCGTATTGTGCTGTTCCTGGCACGCTGTTGCCAATCAAGCTCGTGGGGGTCGACACATAGGTAAAAACAACGAACGAAATTACCAGCAATCAAAAGCCATTGGCAAAAAAGATGAACTCACGCCGGTGACCATTTGCTTCAGCTGCCTGGCGAATGACTAACCGGCAGTAACCGATCACCAAACCTTCATCGGTAGAATGACGTCGAGCGACGAGCCGAAATTCTAACAACTGGTTTACATTAGCGCGGACGGTGGAATGCTGATGGAATTCCGGGTTCCATCCTCGATGAGACCGGGTGGTGGCACCTAGCTGTTCAGGAGCTTGCACAGCTGTGCTCGTGGGTAGCGGAGTATTCGAATCCAGTACCACGTAGGCAATAGAAAACTTTGGACGGTTTGTGGACAAGACGGTTTCGGCAACCAACCCATATGCACGATTGACTACGGCCTTAATAACTGTACAAAAAGACAGGGAATGGGAGGAGGTGAAACACTGGGAATGGTAGTGCTCTATTCCGCACATCGCGTTACAAAACCTGAAGCAAGGAGTTATGGAAGAGCATTAAGGGCTCTTGTACGAATTCATAGACCCATGGCGAGTTGAACCTGTGGTACATTAACAAAGCTGACAGGTCTTTATCAGCCCCCTGTAGAGCGATTAGCTCTACGAAGTCACTTAATTTATTCTAGAACTGAGAAGAGCTATTAGCAAGAAATTCTACTCAGAAACAGCGAGTGGGGTGTACAGGAATCGCTTCGTATAGATTATTCAAAGCGAGGTTGATCAGAACAGAAATAGAGTAACGCCAGATTACTTACTTTTGACATCCAGCTTCACTGCTTCTGATTCGGAATAATTAGGTGACATCTGGTAAAATGAGCGAAAAATTAAGATTAACTGGTATCTGTAGAACGCACTAAGAAGCTATGTACCTCAAAAAAGTTCGAGACAGAACTATGAACCAAAATCATACTCTAGCTCCAAGGTGATCGGGAACAGGAACACGGAGGGCGCCGCATGAACAAAGTCCTCAGCACTGGAGGGCGGTCCTGTACAGCCACACCTGTGATCAACAACAGGTACGCGGTAGAAAGTACACATGAGTGGCGAATCACAGAGTAAAAGAGCCGAATCGAGGAGCTGGGCCGTTTATACGTACGGTGTCCATCTTTCACCTCGTTCGTTCGTTCGTTCATCTGTAGCACCCTTTCGGTGCCTAACTGCCAAGACACCCGAAGGTTGCACAAGGGCTGGGATACTGCCAGGTTGCCCAAGCCTAGACAGGGTCTTTCACCTCACGGAGTGTGAAGATTTAGCCAACAGCCCGCACTAGGCTGGCATCCCGCTTTCTGATCCCGAGTCAATGCTTCAAGGGTCGCCATACGGCGACAATGGGCAAGTGACTTTAAGATTCCGGTTCGAATGGAGTCAAGCTGATCGCCTATGATTGTCGCGCTAACTATAGGCCCCGTTTCGAAAATGATGGCTATCACTGATTCTCTCCAGTTGCCTTGGGCAGTCTCCTTTTCCCAAAAGTATACAAGGAGATCAGATAAGCACTGGCTGAGGACTTCACCCCCATCCTTAAACAATGCGGACAGGTGATCCAGGCCAAGAGTTCGGTGGTGCTTAAGGGAAGATACACCCACAAGGCGAGATTGCAATTCCACTGCCCAAGGTTCTAGAGCAATTCGGAAATCCCACTGAAAAACAGCAGATGGCCAAGAGAGTTGCTGTTCGGAGTGCCCGGCCAAGTGATCGAAGAATTCTTCTCCAGTGATGGTGGTGAAGCTAGTTTGATCATTGATGGTTTCGCTCACAGGTGTTTTCCAAGAACTGGTTGCATGGATCAACTGCTGTCTGCATCTCTCCCATTTTCTTAGCCTTTCATGTCCACCAGTCTTCACGGTCGGTGTGCACGCTGATTTCCCCGACGTCTGATGATACAAGCGTTGAATTATATCCCCGACCGGCTGGGTCACTTCTGTGAGTTTCTCCGACATCGATTGCTTGTGTGGAGCTGTCAGTGCCGTAGCGGAGGTGAAAGTCCTAGCGCTGTGTAAGGACGTGGGGATCTCGTTTCGGTGCTAATTGATATTCGGAGGTGCAGCGATAGGAAGACCGTTCAGATGATGGTTCTACTAAATTCACCAAAAGTCGGGGTTTGATAGGCTATCAGTTGCTGCGCTAGTTGCCCGGCAACAAGCTGAACCAGTCGTTCATCGATGTTCGTAATCATACAGTGAAATTCACAATGTTCATGCGAATGCAATTCAAGCATCAATACAAGCTTAGGATGGGGAAACGTTCAGTGTGTGTATAAAAAGCAAGTAAGTTCCTACCTCGGGTAGATCGTACCCTACAGTACTAATTCATGCTCAGATCACATCCGTGTACCACACTGATGCTAGCCGCGATTCATTTTATTTTGACTCATTAAATAATGGATGTAAGAGGCTACGTTTGACAAAAAGATACCGGATCAATAACCGAACTCCTCGGTGATCTTTACCCTCACCCGTAGTCTCCCTTTGTTTCGAGAGTTCTCTTGATAAACTTGAAAGTACCCAACATTAGATCATGTAGAATCTCGTACCAGTTGGTTATTAATATATTTATTGGTTCAACATGGTTTTTTATGGATATGACTGTTTTCGTTTCACACCCGTTCGTTTCACTCCCAAGACGTTTCAGTTCTCTTGAAAAGTTTTCATCAAGTGAGTGACATAAATCAACATGTATAGAGGTTAAACAGCGCATAAACAAGGGAAAAATAGTGCCACTTATCCCATGATCGTATGTGACCTGGCTTTTTGAAGTCGTTCTTCAGATACCCAGGTGTTAAGTTCGGCCCTTGTTCGGTGTTTCAAGTTGGCCTAAGGGACTATTATCATTGGCTTGGAAAAGGTTTTCTTAGTCTCCTAGTTTATCTTACGACCCCTCGTGGCTAAACCAAGGAACCTAACAGTGTCTACGACCACAATCTTCAACTTGTTCTCACAATTTCAGTTCATCTATGGTATTTATACATCGTCCAAAGGATTCAGTTTTTTATAATTCCATCCTGCTGCGACTTTAAGCCATGTAACATCCAATATACACTGAACAGTCGACTGTCACCCCACCACAAAACAATCATCTTCTGATCCGCAAGAACGGGTTTTAACTGGACGTAAATCATAACTAGGTAACAATACTGTCTATTCTTGGGGTTGGGGGTTGAGTAAGAATACCTGTTAAGATGCCGGTACATTGCAACGTAAAGTATGTTACGAGTTATGAAGCTCCCTTAACCAATAAAACTTGGCAGATTTGGCGAAAATAATATGACCCCAGCCGCGAACAAATGAGTGGCGCATTTTACCAACAAATTCACGTGATCATCGGTAGATATACAACAAAGTTCTGAATCAAAATGGTTTCGAAGCCACTCTGGTACTTTAACTCACCGAAGAAAGGAATCGGGTAATCGGATCCATTTTCAGAAATCCAGAAAGTCACGTTTTAAGGGGATGTTGTCAGAATGTTGCCAGGAATAGTATCCAGCTACAGTATAACGAAAACCCACGGTGTGATAAGCATTTATCGTTCGTAGAATGTTCCACTGTTCGTTGATAGGCCCATACTACCATATAACGTAGTTGCTGTTTAAAATGTATTAGCGTGTGAACCGTTTCGCCGCATTTCTGGCACATACGAGACAAAATTTTGGAAGGTTCACGGAATAAATTCAACGTGCAGTAGGCACACGTTGCAAATGCGTGGGACCATCAAGACCAATGTAAGCCTGTGCTGACTGACTGTCTTCTCGTGGCGGAGAGTTAGCATCAAAGTGAAGGGGCGAAAGCGAGTGTCTTGTGTCATAAAGTGGATGAGGCTACTTGGTCACCTGTCTAGGGAAGTTAGCTAGATCCTTGTTTCGAACCTGGAACGGCGAACATGTGGAAGCAGTTCAGGCGTATTGGGCTGATGAGGTCAGCTTTGCAGTTCGCTTTGACCATACAAAGACTGGAAGGTGCACTATCGAGTGACAGCCGGGTGCGATTGCAGAAGCGACCCACTACAACTTCTCAAGAAGCTTCGGAGCAACTATTTTTCTCATATTACGGTGCCCCCGGTAAGCGACTTATCTTCGGTGGTGGCTGGAGTAACGTTCTCATAATACGACGTACAATAAGCGGTGCAAAGAGCGTAGTTACAGTTGGGACCAAGCTAACCGCTATGTGGTTGCCACATACGCTGCAACTTCTGAGAATGGGCACTACTATTGACTAATCCCACAGAAGTAAATAAGTTAAACAGACATTAACTGAGGTTTTCACGTCCATCTTTAGACAGAACTAGTGAGAATTCGTCAGGGCCAGTAGCACGACGTTGCTTCACGGGTTAAAGGCACTTGCCTATTTCTAAAGCCGATGGAGGTAACCCAAATTCATTTGTTTACGAGCAGAGAATACCACCAAGTCTAGCTCAGTTCAGTTGCTGTTGAAAATGTCCAGCCCATCAATTCAGTTCTTTTGTGGGATGAGCGAGTTATCTCTAGCAGCAATTGTTTCGCTAAGATGAGGTCTCTTTGAGCCTGTTGCGGTATCAGCTGGAGTAGTTTACCCGATGTGACGTAACTACCCGATTCTGATGCCAAAACAGTTCTTGAGATGCACTCGCCCAGTCTAATAACGGAACTTTGCACTTTGAAGGTGCAAGGCGCGTACCAGAATGCACGACAATATTATTTGGTTTATTATATTTTGTGCCTGGATCAAATCTGAACCGATCAGAAAGTTCACGCCTTAACCGCTGAGCTATCTCCTGGGGAGAAATCTCCATGTCTGATGTATAAGACATGGTCACGTGAAGCTGACTCATCCTGTCACAGGAGACAGTCGCCGAACAATTCTTCGATAAGTAATCCAACTGCGAATTGAGAAAGAAATAGTGAAAACCTACTGTCTTGACGAACGCAACCTTTGGTGCTGAACTCAGGAAAATACTTTCCGCAGACTTCTACGTGGCCACAGGTACAATGACAATGTTTGGCACGCTTTTGAAGGAGACATCGCCACAAAGCAGTGCAAGCACCCGATCCAAACGCTACTTTCAGGTACAGGATATTTATTTGGCTAACATGTGTGCCGGGGTTTGAGGAGTTGTCGTAAGGTAAAGATAAGGTCAATGCAGCCATGACCTGGATGAGACCATGCTTGGTTTTTACGACTCTATATCTCTCTCGGGCGCCGGTAAGTTGTGTAGAATATCTGTGAACAGCTTGGAAACAACAGTGACTACATTGGTAACCGATTATTTTCACACTCAGATGTAATACCATTTCCAGAAATTACGGCGGCTTTCGGCCATCCTCTTCCGAGATGCTCCGCAGACTGTCAGACTGCTAACGAGTTCCTGTGCTCTATCCTTAGACAGGGCGGGAAGAAAGATAAACAGAGGGCTTTGTTTGTCTAAGAAGCTCTTTCCAATGTTGTCATTTATTTTATCTTATCTTGGGCAAGTCAAGTTACGTTAAAAAGCTAGTTGTGCGCTGTGCCTGGCATCTCAGGCCAGCTAGATGTTTCTTCAAAGTATTCCGTCAGCCGAAGCAGGAATAGAACATGGAAGATCTTGAGCCGTCTTTCTAGGTAATGACTTCACTGATCGGTGGTTTTCTTGGCCCAATGCTGCGGATAAACTGAGAGAGTTTGGTTATTTTCCGATTACCTCAATTTTTCCGTTCCCTGAATCCTATCTAGCCACTACTTCCCCCCGATCAGCTTTGAGATTGTCCATGGACCTCGGGGGGTCGCTTCTTGAACCTTAGATAATTAGAGTACCCCGGCAACAACATAGACTGGTTTTATCCGGGTTTGGGTGCGTTACCACAGTGGGGTCCTGCATGCAGGTTTCCGAGATAGAGCACGCCGACTTTTAGGCACGAAAGCGTTGAACAAGGGAGTCTGTGGACCTATTTGAGAGACGCTGTTATGCTGGATGGACTCGTTTGTTAGTGGGGCGTATTTGGGCTTTATTTTTGTGGGTGGAGGGCTGAGAAGGGGTGATGAATTTATTGTGCCAAACACACAGAGCGATATTCGCATTCGAAGTGCAGTAAAGGTTGTCAAGCTGAACAGAAGAGCAAATATCCCTAAAGCAAGAGGGCGCTACATGCCTGCAAACGAAATCTGATAAACAAATAGAAGGAACCTAGATATGCAAGAGAAGGTTGGATGCCACTTTGACTGAGATCTATCTACATCAGGAAGTCAATGAAGCACAGGTGGCGTTTGAGGAGCATACCATTTGCAAGTGCAGCAGGCTGAATAGCAGAGACAAGGGGGATGTGCGGTTGATGTTGATATGCTGGTTGATGTTTGGGTGAAAAGTCAACTCGAAAATGAGAACTGCTGGCGGGTTGAGCTAACGGCCTGGTTGCAGCATTCCAGTAAGTGAAAAGCAAAGAATTCCGTTCCCAGACTTTTACCAAAGTCCAATTGATACGAGTTGGTCAAAGAACTCCCGAGAAGTAACACAAGCGGCTGCTTTTCACTGCGCATCCCAGGTGTACGAAAAACGCGCGCATATCACTTAGCCATTGAGAAGGTAGTGGATTCAGAAATCAAACGGAATTATCAGAACAAGCTCCGAACGGTACGATGTCGGAAAATATATCCAAAGCGCTGTCCAAATCCGGAACGTCTGTTGCGGTACGACCCAGCCAACCCCATCCAAATAAAAAAGTCGTTCAGGTGAAGCACACTTTCGGTGCCTAACTGCCATGCCACCCGATGGTTGCAAGAGGGCTGGGATACTGCCAGGTTGCCCAAACCTAGACAGAGAAAGCCGAGGAGCAGAGGTCGGGATCCAACCACGGACCTTCCGGTCAGTAAATTTGCGCTCTAACCACTGAGCACTCTCGCCCCCCCCCCAGC